TGGCCGCCAGTCGGCTATTTCGAACTTGATCCGGAAAAAAAAATGACGTGCATCAAGGTCCTATTATGTTTAATGTATGTACCAAATTTGAATGAAATCCGTCCATGCATAACTGAGATCCGGGTCCGGAATGGTGAAAATGTGCGATTTCAATGCATTTTCGGCCTTAAAGTGGCCGCCATTTGGCTATCGTTAATGAGATCATGAAACAAATGCACATACATATTTGTGACATGATGTACCTTGTGTGTGTGAAGTTTGAACTTGATCAATCCAAGCATGTCTCAGATACGGATCCAGAACTGAATTCTTTAAAACAAAATGGCCGCCAGTCGGCCATTTCGAACCCGATCCAAAAAAAAAAATGACGTGCATCAAGGTCCTATTATGTTTAATGTATGTACCAAATTTGAACAAAATCCGTCCATGCATAACTGAGATCCGGGTCCGGAATGGTGAAAATGTGCGATTTTGATGCATTTTCGGCCTTAAAATGGCCGCTATTCGGCTATCGTTAATCGGATCATGAAAAAAATGCATGTGCATATGTCCCATATAATGTGTGATGTATGAGTGAAGTTTGAACTTAATCGGTCCATGCATGTTCGAGATACAGGTGATCACGGACGCACGGACGCACAGACGCACGGACGCACGGACGCACACAGGGCAAAACATAAGTCCCCGTTTTCGGACTGCGTCCGAACGGGGACTAATAAACACCATCCAGTGAAGCGTTTGTCCACACAGACAGAATCAAAATCTGGCTAGACTCCAAGTTATCACAAATGGATTTAACTTTGAAATGGAAGTGGTTGAGAAAGCGTTGAGGAAGTTCAACAAGTGGAAATACAGTTGGACGAGATGAGAAACTTTTGTTGCCAAATAACTGATCTATGGTACTGAATAATTGTCTATTGGTGGCAGTAGCAATCTTTTCACTGCAATAGCTGGTTTTAGCACTATGAATGAGTTTTGTAACCATGTTCTTTGTATGGTTATAAATTTGTTTGTGGGCTACAAGCCCAGTGTGTAGCCATTGTCTATATACACATCTACGTCATTGTTTTGCAACCTTTAATTAACTCATCGCTGATCCTATTGAACCAAGGTGTTGCCTTGCGGTATGAGCATCGTCGTCAATTTGTCTTGATACCCTTCAATATTGTTTATATAATTCTATAATGCCGAAGTAATTTTACCAATTTTTTCATTCTCCAAAAGTTGAAGCAGTGTTCTCCCCAGAAATTTTCCATAGAGTCGTGGCTAATTTGCATAATAATTAGCATATAATTAACATAAATTAATATATTGTTTGTCATATGGGGGAAATAAAACAAGACCAGTTTTTTTTTCTATTTATTTTATGTACAATCTGTTATGTTTAGTATTATTGCAAATGTCCCACAGAAATTCTGAGTTTTCTGTTTTTTTTGCTTGGCCCAGCAATCAGCAACTTTATAAAACCCTGTTCGGTCCCGGTAAATTAAACATTGGGTTGATGATTCTCAGTGCTTATCTTCCGTTTCTGCTGTTTTCCTGTTAAGTACAACAACTGTTACGAGTCACGATACATACGCTACTATGTTCGAGCAATAATAGTTTTTCTGGCTGAAATTATCCATCTTTATGTATTTTTTTTAATCGTCGATGTTGTCTGTTCAACACAATTGTGAACAAGTAGAGACAACGGAGTTCTGAATTACGAATTGTCGCCATTGTTATACCACGTAAAATTGAGGCTTTTCCTTCAAGAAATAACACAAGTGTCACTCCAATTTCCACACGTTTCTTGATTAGAATTCCTGATTTCTAGTTAAATATATTATTTTCCATAATGCTTCACTTAATTCCACAGTCACTTGGGGGCTGAAAATCAATAAATACTAATTTTCAAAAAAAATGATCCGCTATACGTATATAAATAAACAAGTTGTGAAACACGGCACCTAGTAAATCGACACCCTGTCGGTTTCAAATGTCGATTTCTTACCTTAAAATGCAAAACAAAAATTTTAGAGGGGGTCAGGTGTTACGTTAATAACCATTGTTCATAATCGCTAACTTGGTTTTATTCAAAACTGCACAAATCCCGCGTTTTCTGATGATATCCGACGATTTCATGAACGAAAATGGCCAGCA